CCCCGCTTCTCTCTCTCTCTCTCTCTCTCTCTCTCTCTCTCTCTCTCTCTCTCTCTCTCTCTCTCTCTCTTTCTCCTGTCTCTCTCTCTCCGTTTCTTATACCCCGTGTGTTCTCTCTTTTTCAGCCCCGCTGTGTCTCTGTCTTTCTGTCTTTCTCTGTCTCTCTCTCTGTCTCTCTCTCTCCGTTTCTTATACCCCGTGTAGTCTCTCTTTGTCAGCCCCTCTCTCTCTCTCTCTCTCTCTCTCTCTCTCTCTCTCTCTCATTCTCTCTCTCTCTCTCTCTCTCTTCTAATGAATCCTGCCCTCTGTTTTGTTTGGTTTCTAGACTTACGCCCTGTTCGAACTCTCCAACTAGCGGGAGTCGAGTCTCTCCGCTGAGAGTTGTTGTTCTTTGGACCCTCTACTCGTCGACAGTTTGTGGTATCGCTGGACTGTGTAGAGTCTCTAACTGCCACGTGTTGTGTTAAATCGGATGTTTTCCTATGTCCGTGCAGGGACTTTCGTGAACCCTATATGATTTATTCAAAACGGGAAGTAGGTGTGCTGCTAATTTCGACAGTCACTGTCTGCTTATTCATCAATTTAAGGTGGTTGGAATTGTGTTTATGACGACAACGAGGACGCACCTCGTCACTGACTCGCTGCTGCGACGTGCTGGCGACAATTCTCCTTATCCTCTCAGTTCGGCAGTGCATTCTTGAAGTTATCGAGCACCTAAGACGTGACTGGTCTTACTTGTGAGCAGAAATCTTGCATTACTAAGCACAGTCAGAGACTTCCTCTTTTTTTTTGTTTTATTTTTCTTTTCGTACACAAAAGAAAACTCGTTATAAGAATATTTTCTTTTGCCGTACGGTGCCATGAAAGGGGAGACAAGAAAATGCAACAGCAAACAGAGGTCCCAGGCTTGCTTTCTTTTTTCTTTTGGTCATTTCTCGCTTTGGTCGATTCATCCTCGCGCAGGGGCCGTTGCTATCGTTCCAATTTTGACGGATGTTCCACAGGTCGCATCCTGACTGGCATTATAATACGAACAGACTTCGCTTGACGGACGACTAGACTCGCACTGAAATTGACAGCATACACAGATCAAGCCAGAGTAGCATTCCCGGTGCGCGAATTAGGTTGACATGCATCGTGGGGAAAAAGAGGTGAACACTCCCTGTACGCGTCAAAAATTAGCATCGTGGGGAAAAAGAGGTGAACACTCCCTGTATGCATTGTGACGGATCGATCGTGCGTCATATGCGTGGCTGGCTCGCCATTACGTGCCTCACGGCCCTCACAGGGGTCCTGATGAGTTCTCGTAAGACCGAAAACAAGAGGGAAGAGTAGTGAGTGCTTGTGTCATTTTCAAGGCTCGAGAGATCACAAGGCGGGAAACCAGCAACGGGATCATTACCGTCTTGCCTCGTACACAACGCAACGCGCCCGTGTAATGAAAGCGTACAGGTTTGTTTTCCGGTACGGCACTGTCCTCATGAGGCGCCATCACGTGTGAGGGGTCGATCGTGAGTCGTCTGCGTGGCTGGCTCGTCATAAGCAGAAGATCCTATTAGAGAACTTGTGAGGGATCGATCGTGCGTCGTATGGCACAGGGGTTCTGACGAGTCCTCGTAGAACCGAAAACAAGAGGGAAGAGTAGTGAATGCTTGTGTCATTTCCACTGCTCGGAAGATCACAAGGCGGGAAACAAGCAACGGGATCATTACCGTCTTGCCTCGTACACAACACAACGCGCCCGTGTAATGAACGCATACAAGTTTGTTCTCCGGTCCGGCACTGTCCTCTTGAGGTGCACTTTGATCGGCAGAAGCCGCACACGCGTTGCGAGGCACTGAGAACAACTACCATACCAGGTGGAGAACCAACCCAGGTTGAGGGGGTTACCACGACTTACCAGGTACAGCAAAATGTACAGGCAGGTATCAGGAACAGAGCGAAAGGCACACGCAAAAGAGGGGATTCGGCAGAGGGAGGAAATAACAAAAAGAGAGGGGGATCCAGATAACAGAAAATGAGGTAAGGATAAAGGTCCAAGGCGGAGAGAATGACGAGTCCATGAATGCTAAACCTTTTGCAGCTGCTGACACACACACACACGCACACACACACAAACACACGCGCGCGCGCGCACACACACACACACACACACGCACACACACACACACACACACACACACAGAGGTCATACATAGTTCGGACTCGAATAGAATCAGGCAAGTACAACAATGACCGGGTTTAACGGAAGAGAAAAGGTACAAAACTCTGCCATTAAGTTAAAATAGACTTTCTTCATTTTCCCTTCGTTTAAGGAGATCGTTTGTGATCGAAATTGATTTATTTTTTGGTGTGATTTTAACGAGTTTCTTCGTGTTTCGAGAGGGTGGTGTCCCGGAGTGCTGTCTCTCTTTTTTTTTTTCACAAGAAAAGAGGATCCGTTAGTGCTGTCTCCAAACAGACATCACCCAAAACCCAAGACACAAAGAAAGTTGTGAAGTACACAGCCGAAAGCAATAATTCATTTTCAACCACGAAGTTTGCACAATCCATTTMCCCTAACGGGGGAAAAACAAGGCAGTTTTATCGAAATGGCCGTCACAAGTYTYTTACCARCGGAGAACAGGACAGCAATCTGACGATTTCTGACGAGGGAAAGGTTGCCCTCTTGGGAGAGAAGGGGTGCGGTAGGGGGGAACCCAGCACATATAGACAATCTGGAGAGGAAAAGAGGGAAGGTCCACCGGTGAAGGGCTGAGTGAAAGGTTCGAAAGTCGGCCCCGCGTGGGAGTAGCAAAGGTTGAGATGAATGCTGTTTTTAGAAATTTTATTTTATTTTATATTTTGTTTCTTCAGAGCTCCTTTTGAGCCCTGTTTTTACTTTTAAACCTTGTCTGAGTATATTGGAAGAGATATCGCTTCTGTCTTGTAGTATGGTAGGCTTGATTTCCTCGGGTTTCCTGGACGCTGCGCCGGCGGCATTTCCAAAGGTAACTGGGTGAATTTTCTTTTGCAGACTCGAGTTGACGTATGGTAGGTTTAATTTCCTCGGGTTTCCTGGATGCCGCGCCGGCGGCATTTCCAAGGGTAACTCGGTGAATTTTCCTTCTGGGAACTAGAGTTGGCGAGCCTCATAGGATGAAAGCACAGTTCGGGAGTTCTTTCTCCTCTTAGCCTGAGCAGCAGGACAGAAGGGCTGCGGGCTGATGAGTGTTTTACATCGGCGTTATCGGGTGTTTTTAGCTGTGATATGTAAAGTCCACGAAACCTGATTCTGTATTATCCATTATCTATTTTATTTTCCCTCTTTATCTATTATCTATTATCTTTGCCCTCTTTCTTTCGTGCTCTCTGCCAGGAGGACCAGCCAAAGAACTACGAGCTGGATAACCAGACGGTTACCTGAAGAGAATGGGTTAGTGCACTGGAAATGGGAAATGCGTTGTTGGTCTACAGCAGCCAGGGTGTTAAACACATTCATAGCACACCTTTCCCACCTCCCAAGCAATTTTGAGATCGAAGGTTTGCCGAGGGATACCCATGACCAGTTGGTTCACCCATGAACGGTTGGTACTCCCAAGAACCGCTCAGTTGCTGCACCCATTTTCAAACTTCTTTTGTCACAGCCACGTACTTACCCCCTTTTTTTTTTACTTTTTTTTTTTTGAGTGATTGATTGGTGGGGAAGGGGTCACCCTTGCCCCCTGCACACGCACACACACGCACGCACACACACACACACACACACACACACACACACACACACGCACACACATACACACATACACACATACACACACACAAAATAAAAAATTCACTTTTTTATTTCGCTTCTTTATCCTTCAAATACTTGTCCTTTGTTTTCTATTTTTAAAAAGTAAAAAGCACTTCTTAATCTAAAACAAAAAATATAGGGTTGTAGGGATTTTCAAACCCTACAACCCCATGTTTTTTTGTTTTTTTCTGGGTCCATTAATTTTGTTTTTAAAAATATGCCAAATTCTCAAACGCGCCCAACGGCTGGGGCCATGGCCTGCGGTCGGGATCCGCCATCCAGGTTTGACCCCGCGGTCGTGACCGCCGGGATTCGGAGACACAGAGAGAGACACACAGAGAGAGACAGAGAGAGAGAGAGAGAGAGAGAGAGAGAGAGAGAGAGAGAGAGAGAGAGAGAGAGAGAGAGAGAGAGATTTTCTCTCCCCCCGTCTGCTGTTTTTTTTTTCTTTCGTTCTTCACTATAGGTCATTCCCTGCCAAGCGGGGAAACGTACTGGTGGTTTAAAAAGATCAACACCATCACCCTTGACAACACACCAAAATGCACACGCTAGCGCACCTGTGCACCACAAATCTGTCTTGGGACCCGGCCTGTTATGGTGGCCAAGGCCTGGGACAATCACTGGGTCCAACCCGGGGCCCGAACAGGCTAGGTCACCTAGCTATGAGCTGCCTCCTCCCAGGCCTCGAGTCTCGATTTATGGCCAACTGGAAATCGCCCCTGCACAATTGTTCGATTCCAGTTCGGCAGGGGTACTCAGGATTCTATAAGTTTTGTTGCCGTGTGGCTTGTTGCCGTCTTACTTGTTCCCTCTCCCAATACGCGCGATATTCCAGATCTCTTCGGCTCTCGCAATCGGTAATCCAAAAGGGAGTTTCGATCGCCATATCCTATTTAGCGAAGTCTAGCACAGGCATCTTCGACGAGTGGAATCGGGTTGGCTCCTGCACGTGCGTGCGTAGGCTGCAGGTCACCTCCGTGGGTGGCTACCTTACTCATGCGTGCGCATGAGCCGACGGATTAGATCAGCGACTGCGTGCGAGTAGGTTGCCAATGAGCGATTTAGCGACGTGTCGGTTTATCCTACATGCTTGCAGTTAGTCCTTTCATGCAACTGTTATCCAAATCTCGGACAAAACCAACCATTGCATACATGCTCGCACCAAAAAGAGGGCAGAGTTAGTTCTTAGCATCCAAAACCAACGCACCCTGGCATCCTCACAATCATGCGCGACTCAAAATCAAGTGATTGGACAAGATGCGCGCGAAAGACGTATCTGGCCCGACCCGTGGGAACAAAAATTCCGCAAGTCGCTATACGCGCAACGCAGACGGGCACTTGAAAGTGACAGGATTGGAATTGAGTAGAACAAAATTAGAGATTAGAGACAACAAAAAGAACGCGCGTTCATTAACCCTCATACATACACGCAAGGCAGATATTCCAAGATGATTCACACAAGAAATCCGAGGGTGCAGCAACAAAATAGACAAACGTTAGAATCAAAACTGTACATAAAAGGTAGGGAGAAAAAAACACTGTTCCACCATATCCCCGTCTCTCTCTCTCTCTCTCTCTCTCTCTCTCTCTCTCTCTCTCTCTCTCTCTCTCTCTCTCTCTC